TCACACACACACACACACAGACATACACGCACACACATTGACGGACGCACAGGCAAACAGACGGACCAACGTCAAAACAAAGCGCAATAAGAAAGAGCAATGGCAGCTGCAGTGGCGTAGTCAATTAAGGGAAAAGTGGGGGCGTAGGCAAGTGGGAGGGGCCTGGTACCAAACAAGGATCGAAAAACAACATCAAAAAACTATTAATTAATTGTTTAATATGGTTCTGTGCACAGCCTGCACAGAAGTATTGATAAGACCCCACGTACGCCCCATAAAACATTTGGAAAAAATAAAAAAACAAAACACATTTTATCAATATCAATACAATAATTTTGTACTCCAGCTGTAGCCGCATAGCGTATAAGACTGAAGAGCACACAGACATACTGTTTGATTTCGCCTTATCTGCAGAAAAGTTAATTAGCTTAATGCTACTTAGAAACAATAACTTGTCAAGCATTTAGCGTTTATTAAATCATAAAACTCCCCAAAATTTGATATTCAATTAGATATTTACATTAATTAAACCACTGAATGCATAATTTGTATGATTCGCTACGCCCCTGACAATTGCAACATAACAAATAAAGCACAGAAAAGGAAATCAAGAACGAAACATGTAACTAACAATAAGAGCGCAACTGAAACAAAAATTAAACGACAGCTACGCTGACTGCAAAGTCAGCGTCAGCGTTAGCGTCAACATCGGCGTCGCTTGGCTTTTGCATAGACACAAATGCAATGCGCAGCAGCAGCAACTGCAAACGCTTGTCTGTGTGAGTACCAGTGCGTGCATGTGTGTGTGTGTATGAATTTAGTTGTTCATTTGTAGCAGCTGCTGCATACTCCTCGCTTCAATGCCCGGCTGCAGAACTAGTTACTTAAGTCACATTGTTCACTTGACTAGTTTTCAATTGTCCTAGGAAATCGTAGCATGCTTCATTTGAAATTAGAAGTTATTAAGCAACTGCTATCCTTCTCTAACAAACTAAGCCATTCACATTTACTTGGGTTGCTAGCAACAACAGCAGTACGCAAGTAAATACAAACACAATTACACATACACACACTGCCAGCTGAACGGCAGGCGACCTGTGCATAGCGAACCGTTTTTATTTCATACGGCCACAGCAACGGGCACCAGCACCAGCAGCAGCAGTGACAACAACAAGAGCAGCAGCAGAAACGAACATACGGTAAACACCTGAAAACGTAAAACAGTGCACAAGTGTTACTCAGCGACCAAGCACGCGTGTAAAAATGTCGCCCCAGTAGTAGTAGCAGCAACACCAACAACAAATAGCAATAGCAGCCGTAAAAGCAGCACACAAAACCAATTGAAACTGAGCGCGTGCACAAAAAATTATAACGCTAAACAAAGTAAAAGACAAAAGCATAGCAAACATTTAGGACTAACAATGTATATTTAATTGCATTATTTATTATTGCAAATGCTTTTTCTATTTGCGCAGCATTAAAAGGAGTCACAGAAACAGAACGCAAAACACGTCACTGAAAGAGAGAGAGAGAGAGCGCGCTAAGACATACGCGCTCTCAGAGAGTGACAGTAGCAGCGGCAGCAGCAGCCACAGCAACAACAAAAGCGCAATTGACTTTTAAGCAGTTTGAGCTTTCATTTTGAGGACGCTGCGCAGCTGTTAGCGAAGAGCAGATAAAGAGAAAAAGTGAAATATAATAACTGCATTTGGCGAGCAACTTAACACAGCCATGGACACAGCAGCAGCAAACACAAAAAAGGGAAATAACAACAACAGCAAGAGCAAAGGGGTAAGTCAAAGTGATTCGTGTTGCTCGTGTTGTGTTAACTTGGCCTTTAGCCAGCATGAGGGTTGATTTGTTATGCGTTTTCGCTTATGGACATCATACACACGCATTCGTAAGCAAGCAATTAGTTACAATGGCGTAGTAAGTAATTTATTAAGAAGGGATTATTTATGTCGAGTTTTAAGAAGCCTTTTTATATGAAATATTGCTCGTCCGTGGATTTTAAATGTTAAAATAATATAAACAGTTCTTAATAATATCAAATTAACTTCAAAAAAAAATTGAAATTATATGCTAGAATTAACACCATACAAAATTATAAATTATATTTGATTTAGTAAATAATATATCTAAAAATCGTTCTACTTGTAATTCGATTGTGATGATATCATTAAAATTGATATCATTAAAAATATCATTGATATCATTAAAAATAGCTGTGCAAATTATATATGAATTAAAAATATAGTAGCTTTTTAGGCCCCTCTTTAGATTATACGCCTACGCCACTGAACTTGAATTGATTAACACTTCTTGTCTTCATAATTTGTCATATCATTTAATGAGGCGTAAATTTGTATGAAATCGGAAGACGCAACTTAAACCATTTCAAAGTAAAGTCTCAAAATTCTCTTTATCTCAATCTCTTTTGACTAGGGCAAGACGAAGCCGCGTCGTAATGAACGCAACATTTTAACTTTCTATGAGAAAATTGCGGTTATACGTTACTACGATGAGACGAACATCTCGCGCAACAGTCTGGCCAAGATGTTTCACTGCTGCGCAACTCAAATACGCCGCATTCTGGAGAAGAAACGTGAGCTATTGCAGCAGCTGGCGACACTAAGCGAAGCGGATGCCTCCATTATTATTGAAGAGATGACGCGCAAGCGCCGAAAGTTCGAAATGAGCGCCATAAGCTTTCTCCTACACGAGTGGGTGGAGCGATGTCGGCAGCTACGCCTTGGTGTTAGCATTAGGAACCAAACGCTGAAGGATACGGCACTCAGGATGGCAGCGGTGCTCAAATTGCCAGCCTTTAGACCATCCTATCGCTGGCTCAACCGCTTTCGCAGCAAGTACAAGTACGAGGACGACGAGTTAGGGTACACAGGACCAAACCCGGTGGCGAACGTGCTGCCTCTGGAGCAGATTATTGTGGAATTTAAGCATGCCCTGCCAAATTTCATGCAGAAGGAGCTGGCTGACATCGACATGGATGGCAAGGTGAGCGCTGCCACGCCTGAGCTGGTCAATCTATCAAGCGAGAACAGCGAAATCTCCGAGGGAGAGGATCTGGACGACGATGGTGTCGAAATGCTGACCTGCGAGCCAAGTGTGCTACATTCCCCAGCCAGCACATCTGATGGAGAAGATGAGTCGCTGTCGCTGCCACTGCCGGAGCAACAGCCGGAAGAGGATGCCTCGATAAGCCTGCTCATGAATGCGGGATCATGCTCGCTGCTAAGCAATGTCTTTCCCCACTTGGCCATCATACATCAGTTCGCTTTAGTAAACTCTGATGTGCAGGCCTTGGAGTTGATCTCTCAGCTGGGCGTGCATATGCAGCAGCAGGCGACAGCTGGTGCCTACCAAATCCTAAACGTGCCCACAAATGGCGTAGTGCCAGCTTTGCCCACCCCAGAACTGCCTCCGGGCAGCATTTACGCAGACATAGATGACATCGAGTTGATCGAATAGAATTAAGTGTACATCATTCATAAATAAAAGTCATATAGCACTTACCATGCGCTTGTCGGGTATAATAATCATGCTGGAAGAGCATTCGGGCGTAGCTTTTTGTGGTTTGACTTCGGTCTCTTCCTCCTCGCCGGCATCTTCCTCCTCCTCCTCTTCATTCAAATTCATCGGACTGTTTAGTACAACCAAATCCTTGGGGCAGGATTTAGATAGTCGCGCATCGTGCTCAACGAGGCCAGCATCCGTTTTAGACAACAGGATGCGCTCGCGCATTTCGGCGTTTGTTTTTAGTTCGCCTGGCTGGCGTTGTGGTATAATGCACATGGTGAACTCATCGTAGAGATCGCAACTTTTCTTATATGGGCGCGCAAACCGAGATTCTTCGGCTTTCTGATGCAGTCGCCGCAGCTCATCCTCAATGGTTAGAACATGGGAAATTGTGGAATTCGGCGGTTTCTTTATGCAAACTCGATCCCGAGGGGGGCAATTTTCAACTTTCCATTCCGTTGTAACATTATCACCCA